TTTCTGTTATTTTTGGTGGCGTGGTTGGGCAGATCTGTTATTTATGTAATCCGTCTACGGTTGTTGGATGTGTGGCGTGCACACGTGTGTTTTTCTCGGCAGAGACGCGGAGGATGGCGTTGTCTGGGTGGCTCACTTCCTTGGGCCCGGTCCCTGGGAGAGGGAGGTGAAGGGCACACGTGTCTCGAGTGTGAAGGGGGCCGTGTTCCATATTTCGTCCAGGGCTTGCTTATCGGAGCTGCGTTTCTGGCTCCAGTGGCTGTCCGGCGGGTCGCTGGTGTCAGCTGTCTCCAGCAGCCTGGCCCTGCTGAAGGCCGCGTGGGGTGATGGCGGCCCACCTCTGAGAGGGTTTGCGGGGGGCGGAGCGGTGGCATCTCTCTGCCATCACTTTGTACAGCGTCCGCAGACTGCTGTTGGATGCGGTCCGCTGACTAAACGGGTGCAGGCAGCCTTAGGGACCCCTCGGGGCCCACCGCGTGGGCTGTCAGGCCCCTCTTTACGCCAGCTGCCATCTGAAAGGCAGTTTCTGCTCACGAGCATCGAGTGCTGGGGATGCTAAGAGGTGTGCCCACCAAGACCCACCCCAGACCGTGCCTCCTCTGCTGGCAGGCTGGCATCACCGGTGAATGGGGGGGAGGGGGCACCATAGGCTCCAGGCCCAGGATTTGGGGTGGGGGTGAGTGGGCGGGGCCTGAGCCCTCAGTAGACAGGCCCACCCAGTGGATGGGAACTTGACCCCCAGGCAGGCTGGCCGGCCGGCCGGGGCTGGGATCCACCGCTGATGCAGCTCGTCTTGGAACAGACCATCTGTGGGTGCTGGTGGTGGGACCCAGGCCATGTCCTTGGCACCCCCCGCCCCACCCCCCACGTCCCTGCCCCTTGTCTGTTACTCTTTCATCTGTCCCCGGATGCCCCGCTGGGCACTAATGCAACCACCATTGGCCAGGCTCTGGCTGATTTGAGCAGGACTGGTGCAGCTCTGCTCCTTATTCCCTGGTGGCTCTCAGAGTGGGAGCCCTCGCCCTCTGGGTTCTGGTGGTGGAGCACCCTGTGCTTCTGCATGGCACGGAGGGCCCTGGGGCATGCTCAGGCCTGTGGGGGGCCGCTTAGACCTCCTTCCACAATCATGCTTAGTTTCTGCATCAGAAACCAACCCCCTCGGAGGGCATACTCCATCCCAGTCTCCATCTCCATCATCTCTATCATCTCCATCCCCATCTCCATCATCTCTGCCATCTCCATCTCCATCATCTCTGCCATCTCCATCTCCATCGTCCCTATCTCCACCATCTCTGCCATCTCCATCCCCATCTCCATCATCTCTGTCTTCTCCATCCCCAGCTCTGCCATCTCCATCTCCATCATCTCTGCCATCTCCATCTCCATCTCTATCATCCCCATCTCCATCATCTCTGCCATCTCCATCCCCATCTCGATCATCTCTGTCATCTCCATCTCCATCTCTATCATCTCTGCCATCTCCATCTCCATCTCTATCATCCCCATCTCCATCATCTCTGCCATCTCCATCCCCATCTCGATCATCTCTGTCATCTCCATCTCCATCTCTATCATCTCTGCCATCTCCATCTCCATCTCTATCATCCCCATCTCCATCATCTCTGCCATCTCCATCCCCATCATCTCTGTCATCTCAATCTCCATCATCTCTGTCATCTCCATCTCCATCTCCCATGTCAGTGCTGACGGTGCGAGAGCAGCAGAACCTGCCAGCTTTAGTCTCTCCAGCAGCTGCTTACAAAAATGCCTGTCTCAGAAGGTTTGGGAGCTGGATGGGCTGGACGATCAGGGAGGGCGATCTACGGCCTTGTTAATGAAAACAAATAATGCTACTCGCCCTTAGCCTCTTTTCCGTCTCTGGGCACAGCTCTGAGGCTGCCTTGTGGACTCTGCCACTAGCTTCTGGCCTCTGGCCCGCTCCAAGTTCCTTTCCAGGACAGCCTCTGCAGGGAAGAGGCACTCTGTGCCTGCTCCTGGGCCCCGGCCTAAACGAAATAGCTGCACACGACTTCCACTGTGCACTTGGCCCCAAACCAAATGGCCTGGTGGGGGAGGAGTTTCAGTGTCCGCACGTTCAGCCCTGGAAAGTTGCCATTAAGTTGCCTTAGCAACTTTCTCTCCCACACTGTACGGACGAAACAGGGTGATGGGTCTACAGTGCCTGCACCCCTGAGCTCAGCTGCTCAGCCCACGGAAGTGACTGTCACCGTGTCCTAAATCCAGGAGGCTGCCATTCCCTTCACCTGGGACCCACAGGACCTTGCCTCGTTCCCACTGGGTGCCCATGCTTCCCCAAATCTCCATCCCCCAGCCCCTGGCAAACTCCATCCCAGGCAGAACCCGCACAGAAGCGTGAGGGTGGCCGTCCCCAGCAGCTTAGTCCTGGCTATATGAGGAGGCAAGGACTGGGCTCCAGGCCACTGGGCAGTTGGCTCTGGGCACATGTCCACGTCCACAGGCAGACACAGGTGTGTTTTCTAATTACTTACGGAAAAGCAATTGCAGAGCCGCTCCGTACAAATCCCCTAAGCTGCTGTCGGTGGCGATGCCAGGGAGACCGAGGCCCAGCCAGGAGTCCGCACCTTGGCTCCGTCTGCTCCCGCCACGCCAGGCCGCACCGCCAGCCTCTCTGTGCAGGGCAGCTCTTCATGGAATGAATTGAGTTCGCTGGGACTCGCTTGGCCGTAGATGTTCCCTCCTGCTTGTGGTCGTGTCATTGCTGTCCCTGCAGTGCAGGCTGGGAGTGGGGGGTGGGAGGTGGCACCATGGTTGCAGGAATTCCCAGGACACTTCGCTCAGCCCTTCCGGCATCCCCACCCCACTGCCTGGGATTTGGGGTGGTAAATACATCACCATTTCCGGAGCAGATCGAGGGAAGTTTGGAAGGGCTTGTCAGGGAAGGTACGTAGTTGCCACTTCGTTAAGTCTGTTCCGTTTCCTGCTCTCCCACTGAGAGACTGGCCGTGACCAGAGGACGTAAAGGGAGGGAGAGGCGCGCGTTCGAAACGGAAGCGGGTTTGTAGCTGCGGTTCGGGGACCGGGTGTCTCCTGAGCCTGTCTGTCTGACAGGGAAGCCAGGTGGCCACAGGAGTTTCCGAGTCCCAGCTGCAGGGGCTGCAGTGCAGGTGGCCCTGGGCATAGTCCGGGAGGCAGCTGCCACGTGGCCTGTCACGGCTCTCAGGACAGGCGTGTCCCCAGGTATGTGTGTCCCCTCTTTAGAGGGAGGCAAGTGCAGCACCCTAGGGTCAAGGCCGCCCTTGAGATCCCCTCATCTTCTTGCAGTCATCCCTGCGAGACTTCCAGAATCTGCCTCCCTTTCCAGGGGCTGCTCTGTCCTCTGGAGTCTAGGCCAGAAGGTGGCAGATAGGGCCTGTGTCAGGTTGAGCCCTCTGCCCGTTCACTGTGAACAGATTCGTTTATGTAGCATCTGCGATGCTTCTGGGCCACAGCGCAGAGTGGGGAGGGTTGACACGCTATGTGGCCCACGGAGCCGGATGTTGTTGCCTGGCCCTTGATGGAGTTTGCCAGCCCTGCCCTAGACCAGACCCCGCCCCACGCCCCACCCCAGTGGGGTGCTTTTCCAGTCTTGTCTTGGCGGCTCCCACAGGCAAGTGGGCGACCAGGCCCTCCTGGGTTCCTCCCGCTGACCGAGGGCTCCCTGTTGGAGCCCGGCTTCTGGGATCCTTGGCTGGCTTCTTTGGCCCACAGCTCCCCAAGTGTCAAGTGTCCCCAGGACACCTGCAGTACCTTCTGCACGGTGTCCAGCTTCGGGGGCCATCACGACGCTGTGACACGGAGGGAGAGGCTCTGGAAACACTTGCCTTAGTGGAGGGGTGGTGGTCAGAGCGTCAGAGGGACCACGTTTCCCCTGCTTCGCCACACGTTTGCCCCTTGCTTGAAGCTGCTGGACACGAAGAACCCCCTCTCCAGGGCAGCGGCTGCTCCGGGCCACCTGGCACAGCGCCCAGCCCCTCCCCCAGCAGCCGCCTGCGGTCCAGTCTCAGCTGCCCCGGGTCCTTGGTTTCCCCTCCCCCAGACACGCAAGGCAGAGACTCCGAGCCAGGCTGTGTGAGGGACCTTCTCGAACTCACCTGGGTTCCCTTGTTTGCTCCTAGTCTTTGGGGACTGACAGCTTTTTCCGCTTCCCAGCCTTGGGACCCCTGCTGTCATAAAGCGGTCCATATGCGCTCGTACCTGCTTGGGGGCAAGTGCCCGACTGTCAAGTGTCCCCAGGACACCTGCAGTACCTTCTGCACGGTGTCCAGCTTCGGGGGCCATCACGACGCTGTGACACGGAGGGAGAGGCTCTGGAAACACTTGGCTTAGTGGAGGGGTGGTGTTCAGAGCGTCAGAGGGAGCACGTTTCCCCTGCTTCGCCACACGTTTGCCCCTTGCTTGAAGCTCCTGGACACGAAGAGCCCCCTCTCCAGGGCAGCGGCTGCTCCGGGTCGCCTGGCACAGCGCCCAGCCCCTCCCCCAGTGGCTGCTTGCAGTCCAGTCTCAGCTGCCCCGGGTCCTTGGTTTCCTCTCCCCCAGACACGCAAGGCAGAGACTCCGAGCCAGGCTGTGTGAGGGACCTTCTCGAAGTCACCTGGGTTCCCTTGTTTGCTCCTAGTCTTTGGGGACTGACAGCTTTTTCCGCTTCCCAGCCTTGGGACCCCGCTGTCATAAAGCGGTCCATGTGCGCTCATACCTGCTTGGGGGCACGCGTCCGACAGGAGTTTGAACTCTGCCTCCGTGCTGGCCGCATGCCGGCTGACCCTCGAGCCTTCCACAGACAGGGCCTGCTCTCAGTCCTCAGCACTGTGTGCCGGGGGGTGGTGGTGACCCCACTGGGGTGGACTGGAGGCCCACACGGGGGTGCTCAGCCAGCCTCACCTTCCATCTGGGACGGAAGACGCCATTTCCTGCCTCGCAGTACGCACTGTAGGGCGGGGCGGCTGCCTGCAGGCTCAGGGGGTCCCTCCTGCCTCCCACAGTGCACGTGCCGGAAAGACATGGTCAAGATCTCCATGGACGTCTTCGTGCGCATCCTGCAGCCAGAGCGCTACGAGCTGTGGAAACAAGGCAAGGACCTCACGGTGCTCGACCACACCAGGCCCACGGCCCTGAGCAGCCCCGAGCTCAGCTCCTGGAGCGCCTCCCGGGCCTCGCTCAAGGCCAAGCTCCTCCGCAGGTGAGTGGCCAGGGAGCTTCGCCACGCCCGCTCTGCTGGCGACCCCGTGAGTGACCTGCCCCGGCCATTCTCTTCCGACAGGAGGCCGTGGGCCATCCCCTTCCTTCCTCCCTCCCTCTCTTCCTCTCCCCTTCCCCTCTGGTTTCTCGCTGCCTCTGAGCTGGAGCGTGTGGCTGCTGCGTGTGTGGCCGGGGGGGCCTCGCAGCAGGCGGCGTCTGTGCCAGACTCATTTTCCCTCTTGCTCCTCGGCTGGCCCTGTGGCCCACTGGCGACCTGGTTTTCTCTCTGGGACAACACACACTGTGCCCTTCCCTCTTCCACTTGTGACCCCAGGTGCGAGAGCCCTGTGTCTCCGTGCCGGGTGCTGAGCCCTTCGTGGCTCTGTCGGTGGCAGGCCCTGTGCCGGAGCCCTCTGTCACCGTGGCTTGCCCTCTCCCGTCTGTGGTTGTTTGTTTTGGCATTTCCAATACCGCGATGTTGAGATCTGCAGTCATGGAGTTAACAGAGACCTGTTCTCTCAGGAACATCCTTTGCCACCCCTATTCCGTCTCCGGAAGCCCCCTCCTGCCCCTGCCTTCCACGACAGCGTGGTAGCTGTCCAACTGCGTGCCTGGTGTCCGGCAGGAGGGGGAGAGGGTGAAGTGGTCGTCCTCGTGGCTTCGACACGGGGCTGTGGGGACGTGGGGGACAGGTCTGGATGGAGGAGGGGACCGACTTCTTGCCAGGAGGGAACAGGCAGCGAGCACTGTGCTCCTGGCACTGCCTCGTGGCCTGGAGGCGTCGGTCCCCATTTTGCTCCTTCTCTGGGGAACAGCCAGGCCTTCAGGGCTCTGAGCTGCTCAGACAGAGTTCCAGGGGATCCCAGGGGACGTTCGGCAGGTCCTCGCTGGGCCCGGTGAGTGCTGCAGCAGCCTGGCCTGTGGCCTGCCAAGGGCAGAGTGTCGTTTTCACCATGTGGGCCACACGGTCCCTCACGACCCCTCAGCCCCGCAGTAGCTGCCACGGACAGTGGCCCCTCAGTGAGCAGAGAGCGTGGCACACCGCAGTACAACTGCTGTGGACGTCGAAATTGGAACTTCACGCCGTTTTCACATGTCACAAAGTATTGTTGCTTTTTAAACCTTTGAACCATTTAAAAATGGAAATACTGTTCTCAGCCAGTGGGCCTCACCAAAACAGGCAGCAGGCGGGTCCGGGGCTTGGTGAGACTTTCCATCTGCAGCCATGGGTCACTTCTGGCGTCTCTTGTCCCCACTGGTGATGGTCGGCTGGCCCTAGGGCTTGGCCACTTGGGGGGTCGGGGCTCAGCCAGTTTTTTCCTTCAGTGCCCTGTTGGTGGCACTCTCCATCCTTGGACTATTTCTGGGAAAAATCATCCTGGCCTGGCGGTCAGGCCCAGTGGAGAACCTGCTCCCCCAGCTGGGCGGTTTCTGGTTTTCAGTGCGTCTGGGCCTCGCCCGCCTGTTTCCCCGCCCCTCGGCCTCTGAGAACCTTCTGTTAGCCCGGAATCTCCCGCAGCTGTTCCTGAGTCTTCTGATTTCTTTTGCGGTCTGCCCTTTTGATGTCCCGCTCTCCTGTGTGTCCTAGAGAGAATCGGCTTCTCCGTGACAGGGAGCTCCAGCTCTTCTGGGCTGGGCTGGGCAAGCCTGCGGAGCAGAGCCGGCTGCAGCCTTTGCATAATGGCTAATTGGTTGTGGCTCAGGCTAATTGGTCAGCAGAGTGGACTGCCAAAAAACGGGCGCCACACTTCAGAAATGGAGAGGATAGAGCACCAGGAACCCCAGCAGGCTGAGCACGCCTTAGCCAGAACCTCGTGTGCACAAAGGAAGCCGCCCCCGGCCCCTTCCCTGCCCGCCGCCCCCTCACCCTCCCTCAGCCCAGCCGGCCCGTGCTGGACGGCTCCCAGCCCGCCTGTCACGCTCTGTTCCTCTCTGGAGCGTTCCTCTCCCGCCTCTCCCTGCGACCTGGGGAGCCGGAATAGTCCAGCAATGGGATTGAATGATAAATTAAGCCACGTTCCCCAGGATATAATTTTCTTTAAAGGCTTCAATATGTAAAATGTGGCTGACTCCCTTCTTTTTAAGTCATGGTGGGGGGCTTTCTCTGAAAAGGTTGATTAGGGGGACTGACGTGGCAAAGCCCACGCCGCCTCCCCCTCTGCGTCAGCATCACTGACTCTCAGGATTGACTCTCGTGCCCTCCTGGCCCCTGTTCCACATGGCGGCCTGGGCCCTGGGGAGGGCCCCCCTGAGCCCCGGCAGGGGTTTCGGGAAGGCCAGCTTGGGCTAATTGGGGGCAGTGGTGGGTCTGGGCCCCAGACTGGGTCGTGTGCCCCACCACTCCCTCCCCCACGCTGTCATCCTCTGGGGTGGCCCATCTTGAGCACTTAAGGTGCCAAGCAGCATCCCTGCCACCGCCAGCTCAGTGCCAGGTGCTCCCCCAGTTATGATGACCACAAATGTCCCCTGACACTATCTTGTATCCCTGGATGGAAACCCCTGCCCTAGACAGAGAGCGTGGTATTGGGGTGGGCTCTGTGCTGTCTGCTACCCCCCACCCCCACCCCACCCCACCCCACGTGTTCCCCGCAGCCTCGCTTCATCCTCTGGGACCTGCGGCTCCTCCCCGGTCCCACTCGGCCCCGCTCAGCCAGGTCCCACCCTCACCCATGACAGTCCAGCCTTCCTGACGGCCCTTCACACTGTGCCCCACACGTCGCCTCGGAGCAGAGGCCAGGTGCTGGCCCCTGCGGGAGAGAATGGACTGCCCTGTTCCCGTCGCCCTCCCGTGGATTTATCCTCCATGCCCAGATCTTGTCAGATAAACTGACCCTGCCCCGTGACAAGCGGGGTGCAAAGCTGGCACCTTCCTGCTCCTTGCTAGGAGGCTTCTCTGGCCCTCACCACCAGGTGGGGCTCCCGCCTGGCTCCCCGCTCCTTGCTCCCCTCTCCCCACAGCCCCCTCCATGGACAGTCCTGGCCTCAAGCCTCCTCTTTGTTTTAAGAGCGTCAGGAAATGCAGTTCGTGAGCTGCACAGCACAGCAGGTGTGCGTTCGGCCCCTGCACACATGTGTGCAGGACACCTGAGCGCTGCCACCACGCCGTAGCCGAGAGGAGGGCAGTGGGGGTGGGGCGCGCGGGTCCCCATCACACCCCTGCCGGCTCCACGGGTTGCGACCTCCAGTTGCCCACAGGAGAGGCCACTGGCTGAGCGTGGCCGAGAGTCCCCGTCCCTGCTCGCTCACCTGCAGCGCCTCTCTCCCACCACCCTGAGGTCACCGTGGAAATGAGGGGACGGGGCAGCCCCTCGAGTACCCTCAATGCCTCCTGAGCCTTCGCGGGACCCGAGCAGGCCAGACACCACGGCCCCTCTGATGCCACCGGGCCCTGCCACAGTCTGGAGGCCTTCTGGCCGCTCAGCTCCTGGCCGCTCAGAAGCTGGGCCTGCAACTCCTGGGCCTGCCAGGCCCTGAGGAGTTTGTCGCCCTGGTGACTCGCCGAACACTCCCTGAATGCTTCTTGCCTAGAACACGCTGTGCGCCATCTCGAAGGCAAAAGCCTCTGAAGGCCACATCCTTACTTGCTAGTGGGGCTTGTGTTCTGAGGCTCCCAAGGGGAGGAGAGCCCAGGGCACATGGCTCGCAGCCCCCTGCCCCTCCCCGGGGCCGCACTGGAACACAGGGCCCTGGCTGCCCCAAACCCCCCTGTAGAGTCAAGAGTCCTGGGCTACAGCCATGACTTAGGGTGTAGAGAGGCTGAGTGCCCTTGGCCCCTTGGTGAGCGGGCCCGAAGCCACTCTGAGCCCACCGCACAGGGCAGTGACCTAAAGGGAGCCCCCCACTCTCTCCCTCCTGCCACTTGTGGTCCAAGGACACCTGCTTTTAGCTTGGAAACGTTAGTACAGGTATTTGGACTCAGTCCCAATATTTGGTTCGTATAAACTTAACAGGTGACGTTCTGTTAAACCTGACAAGTGCACATGTATCTTCTCCTTAAGTGCCACTAAGATGACACTATGTGAGTGACAAAGAATGGAAGAGGGGACCATGACAGCTGAGCAGCAGGAAAGGCTGGGCTGGTGACATCTGACTCTGCAAACTCTAGTCTGTGGACCTGTGGACAGGGCGGCTGCTTCATGCTGAGGACGCCTAGGAAGGCCTTGGCTTCTGGGACACAGGCCTCCCGGGACAGGGACCGAAGCAGGCGTAAGGGGCTGCTGGGCTTGTACCCCTGCCCCACCTCGTATAGGACGTGGGCATAGGACGTGGCCCTGCTGCCTCGTAGGGTCGAACCTGGGCAGGAGGGAGGAGCCTTCCTGGGGTGGGACGGTGGAAGCCTGTGTCCCCAGCCCTGAGGGTCTCCAGGCCCCAGAGCGCACAGCAGAGCGAAGCTGCAGATCCTGACGTCACGGGTCTCTGTGAAGCGGCTGGGCTCCTGCCCTCCGTCCCCTCCGGCCAGCCCTTCTCACAGATGCACAGCCACCAAGGACCTGACCTTCCCAGTCCTTCGCACAACCCAGCCAGTGGTCTCTAGACCTCTGAGGAAACGCTGAGTGCAAGACAGAGCGTCTCAGACAGAAACGGGACAGGGAGTCCACGGAGAGTCCGTGCAGTCATCGGGAGGAGAGCACCGGGTCCTCGGGGCGGGGGCCGTGCGTTTACGACCGAAGAACCCGTTCTCGGGAGGAAAGAGATGGCTCTTGGACATTTAAAAGCAGAGCAAAGGAAATGGAAGAGATGGTTGGGAGGCAGCTTGGGGAAACCCGGTAGAGTGTCAGACAGCAGGATGGAGCTGGGAATAGGTCAGAGGCTCAACTGAGGAAGCCCAGCCTCTATGAGGCAGGGTTTCGGGAAAAGAGGAGAAAACAGTTCCTGGGACCCAAAAACGTGTGTTTTCAGATGAAACAGTCTGGCGCGGGATGAAAATCACGCACTCCACACAGCACATCGCTCTGCGTTCTCACAACTCGTATGTTAAACAGATCTCCAGACCTTCTGGGGCAAATATGGCACCATAAAGAACAAGGGACGTAGATGGCATCGGACTTAGCGAGCACGATGCCACAAGCTAACAGACAAAGGGACAAGGTTTCAAAAGTCAGAAGAGAAATGATTTTCAGCCCAGAAGTATGTATCTAGCCAGACTACCGACTAACCGCCGGAGAGGAGCAGAGATCTTTGTAGACGTGCAATGCCCCAGAGTTTCCCTTCTCTCTGAGGAGGCTACCTGAGGACGTGCTCCAGCCAGACAAGGGCGTCAGCCACGAAAGACATGGGATCGAGGAAAACGAATCCAACTCAGGAGCGTCCAAGCCGGCCTCTAGGAGTTTGTGGCACCCCGCATGGGACGGCCACACCCAGAGCCCGGAGCTGACCGGGAAAGCTGAGTGACAGGGGGCCACTGACCGGCTCCAGGAATTGCGAGCAGAGAGTGCAGTGCGAGCTGCTCCGCTGCTCACGGAGAATGATATTTACTGTCAGAAAAACGTAAAGGAGTAATTTCTCCACAGCCGAAGACGGTGGCAGCTGCAGAGAGGAGCTGGTGGGAAGCAGGATGCATGGCCACATCCTAAGTGTCTGAGCAGCTCGGTAACTCAGCAGAGGAAGCCAGAACCAAAAAAAAAAAAAAAAGCAGCAGCCTCAGGGAGCCGCGTGGAAGTAGCTTCGGGAAGAAACAGCTAAGAGACCTGTCCCGTCAGGGGAGCAGCCAGGCTGCTGTTATGGCTGGCCTGTGGGTGAGGGTGTGCCTGGTGGCGCCTCCCCCCCAGTTCTGAGGCAGAGCGGCCCCAGGTCCTTCCCCGTTATTCTCCCGGTTTTCGTTCTCATGTTTCTTTGCGTGATAGTTTCTAATTCGCCTCCCCCTGCAGTGGGGCGCGGCCCTCTGCCCAGGTCTGTCCACCTGGTTCCACTCATTTTTGGGGTCTCTGCACTGGGGCTGGGGGTCTGCAGTGTGTCGGGGGCCGAGTAAAGGTCTCTGGGGCAGATAGGGTGCTGGTGGGGACGGCCCTCATCGGCCCTGGGAGCAGGCGGGGTAGGGTCAGAGGCGGCCCCCAGGGCTGGTTCCAGGGCCGAGTGGGGGAGGGGCGAGAGGGGGGCGAGAGGGGGCCGAGGGGCCGGGCAGCTGCAGGAAGCCAAAGCCAGGTGAGTCGGCGGTCGGGGACACCCCTCTACTGGGCGCTGCCCGGGGCCAGCGTGGGGGTTTGTTTTGGGCATCTGGACCTGCAGCCCCGCAGTGTTCCCAGACCTGGACAGAAGCTCCTCTTGGGGTGACAGCTGGTGATGAAAGCCCGCTGCATCTACCACCGGGCCCGGGGCTCTCTGCCCATCTCTCTGTGGGGCTGCACCTGGCCTTTCCCAGACTTTGCTCCATGTGGATTCGCCGGTGGCTCTGCTGCGGTGCTGGTGGCTCTGCTGCGGTGGAGAATGTCCCCAGGGCGGCCCGAGTCGCTGGCTCCTGTGTCCCCTCCTACCCCCGCTGCCCTCCCGCTCCGCCCCGCTCGCAGTGACCCGTGCACGCCATGCTGTGTGTGACGCCATGCCTCCGCCCATGACGCTCCCCCACCCTGGAATGCGCCCCGCTTTTCGCCTTTGGTCATGAGGCAATTCATGCTGCACACATCAAGTGGAGCTTGTCTTGTACCCCATGGGCATCGCCTGGGCTCAGGGGGCACGGAGCAGCAGAGGCCAGGGCCCCCGAGTTAGCTGGCTGAGCCGTGAGACCGAGCAGCCGTGGTTAGCGTGGCGGGGCGGGTAGGAGGGGGCCCCTCGGAAGCCAGGGTGGAGAGCAGGGGCAGGTGGGGGAGACAGCAAGGGAGCTGGCAGGTCTGGTGCCTGCCATAGGCACCCCCAGGTGAGAAGTAGGGGTCCTGGCATCGGGAGCCCCTGTGGCCTCCCCCGGCCCCCGCCCAGCCCCAGCCAGATAGCGCTGCATCTCCTCGGTGACTGCTGGTCCGTGCAGGTGTGGCTGCCACAGGACTGTCCATGTCCGAGTCTGACCCCACTGGGGCCACGTGGAGAACTCGTAGGTGGAAGGGAGCCACAGCCAGCACCTCTCTGAGGAACGCTGAGCAGGAGAAAGGAAAGCTTGGTGGGGGCTGGTCATGAGGCCTGGCGCCCACGGCCATGGGGCCATCCCCACCCCCTGGAGGGCACCCCATGCCCACTTCTGTCCAAGCTCCTGGGGCACCACACACCTCCGGTTAGTCTGAAAGCCACACCCCCACCCCCACCCCCAGCAGTCCACAGGCCCCTCCCCTTCGCAGCTTCCTTTTCACTAAGGAGACAGAGCTAAGCCTCAGCTCGCATTCTCCCTAGGGACCAATGTCGACACCCACGTCCCGGGGCACGTCCGGCCAGGGCCCTGTCCTCGAGGCAGGCACTGGGGGTGGGCAAGGCGGGGTGAGGGCGCAGGTAGAGGAGGGGCCGCCCTGGGCCCGGAGCTCCTGAGTACAGAGGGACACAGGGAGCACGGGCGCCGGACAGATGCAGGAAGCCTCAGCTCGCATTCTCCCTGGGGACCGATGTCCACGCCCACGTCCCGGGGCACGTCTGGCCAGGGCCCTGTCCTCGAGGCAGGCACTGGGGGTGGGCAAGGCGGGGTGAGGGCGCAGGTAGAGGAGGGGCCGCCCTGGGCCCGGAGCTCCTGAGTACAGAGGGACACAGGGAGCACGGGCGCCGGACAGATGCAGGCGCCCAGGACGAGGCCCTTAGGTGAGGCGTCCTAGGGAGCTAACGCGAGTCCCAGAGGAAAACTCCCTGACGTTTACGTTCTAGACAAATTAGTCTGAAAGAAAGCAGACACTGGAGAAAGACTGAGGAGGAGAGGAAGCCAAACCTAGAGAGGAGGAGAGAGCAGAGCAGGAGGCCGGGGCCGCCGTAAGTGCACCTCCCACGCCACGCTCGTCCAGGCGTTCCCCGAGCTGCTGACTCCATCGCGGTCACACCCCCGTCCCTCCTGCCCCACTGATGCGGGGCTCCTGGAGCCCGGTCCCCGTCTGCCATCCCATCTCCAGCTGTCATCAGCACGCGCTTGACCACCCCACCGTCCCCGTTGCCCTGCCCCCAGGCTGCTTCTTCCTCCACTACCCCCGCCCCCAGGAGCCACCCACCAGTCCCCGTGTCCCCCGACTCTGTGTAGGGGTCTCCGTTCTGCCAGGCAGAGCGCAGACCGGGGGCTTCTCCCGGCTTCTGTTTTCGCCTCCTGTCTGATGACTCTCGCTCTCCAGGTCCCACCGGAAGCGCAGCCAACCCAAGAAGCCCAAGCCAGAAGACCCCAAGTCGCCAGGGGAGGGCCCCGCCGGGGCGGCCCTCCTGGAGGAGGCGGGCGGCGGTGCAAAGGAGGAGGCCATGCAGGAGGCCGACCCCGAGGACGAGGAGGAGGACCCGCAGCCCCCGCCACAGGGCCGGGAGGTGGAGGGGCCAGAAGGTCAGTCTCGGCCGGCGGGGAGGCCAGGGGACGCCGGGCCGGAGCCCACACCGGCTCCTTTCGGGCTCACAGCTGGCGGAAAGAGCCAGCGTTCGTTGTGGCTCCGAGTCCCCACTCTTTAAGAACCCCGAATTCATGCGCTCTCCTGGCTGGGTGGGGCATGTCATTAAAACGTGAATCTTGGGGTGCTGTGAAAGGTCCATCCTCTCCCAGACAGAGGAGAGGGGGTCTCAGGCGGCCGTGCTGCGCTCACGGCGCCGCAGACAGACGGGGCTTCTCGAAGCCACAGGCGTTTGTTCCTCACGGTCCTGGGGCCGGAGTCCGAGACCAGGCTGGCAGCGTGGCCGCGTGCGAGTGAGACCTCTTTTGGGGTGCAGGCGGCTGCCTTCTCGCTGTAACTCTGCAGCCCCTGCTGTGAGGGTGCCGGTCCAGTCCATGGGGGCCCACCCTCATGGCCCCGTCACTAACCACAGGCCCCCACAGCCCCACCTCCTAAGGCCAGTCCATTAGGGTTTCCGTTTCGACATACAAACTTTGGGGGAGACACAGATGTCTTGTTCAGAGCAGAGGCGTCGTCCGCCCCGTCGTGGAGGATGCCCGCTGTTTGGGGCCAGAAGCCGGGTGAGCCGTGCTGGGGCACCGGCGTGGGGCCCCTTAGCCCTGCAGTGTCAACCTGTGGGCACTTGGAAGTCCCCAGCCCCACGTTTCCCAGTGTTCCCCCTCTTTGTGGCAGGCTTCGTTTTCCTAGCTCACAGGTAAGACCACCCTCCAGGGGAGAGGCCCTTTCCTCTCTGGCCCTCCCCAGGGGCCTGCCCGCAACTCGCTCCCAAGGGGGCCTCAGGCCCCGGTCACAGGTCGTAGGTCACCAGAAGGTTCTACCCTGGTCCTCAGTTTCTGTGTTTGCGGCTCTGTCTTGGGGGCGTGTGAGCCCCTCACAGCCCCACCTGCCTCGGAGCCATGTGCTCGTCACGATGCAGCATCTGAGGTGACTGTCCGTGGGTGCAGTCGGGGACAGGCCCACGCCCGCCAATGCTCCCACGAGATGGCATGTAGGTGAGGCTGTGTCTTCCAGCTGGAAGGGTGAGTGACCCTGAGGGGGACCCCCCAGGCACTTACCAGGGAGAGCGGAGAGTTTCTGGGTGAATCGCATGCTGGCGCCCTGGATGGCGGGCGTCACTGAAGTGCCTGGTGCTCACAGGCGGGTTGGCCAGCCCAGCCCAGCCCAGCCCAGCAAGCAGGCCCGAGGGGAAGGGCGCCTGGTTGGAGAGGAAGCCCGCGCCATCACTGTCGGGGCAGGTGGCTCTCCTGTGTGGGACGGGGTTTAGAGATGGCGCCCTCAAGTCACTCAGGTGGGACAGGTGCCGCAGGAGCCGGGTCTCATCCCTGTGGGCCAGCCACGGGCGGGCGGGCAGCACCTCCGTCAGGAGGCCACCTGCCACAAAGCGACTAGAGGGTGGCGCACCCGGCTTCTGGCCCCAAACACAGCTGACAAAAAACAGGGCCTCTGTGGAGAAAATTAGAGACATTTTTCAAAAGCAAGGAACTGCTAAATAACGGAGCCGTGTGCTGGGAAAACCCCCTCGCAGAGGCAGGTTACCCGCTTCATCGGCGTTCTCGGAGGTGTGGCGGGTGTCGAGCCAAATGCAGATGGAGGGAGAGGCAGAAGGGAGGTCGGCGGTCTGGAGACTGGCCACCGACTCACGGGGCAGGAGCGAGGACAGCCTCCCCCGCTGCAGGCAGGACGCGTGAAGGCCACCATTCTTTGCCTGGGGGACTCTCAGACGTAGCCTTGAACGTCACCATCCCACTTAAAGTTGAGCAGACTCGCCAAGCCAGGCCGTGGATTGTCGAGGACGCATTTGAGCCTGCTCTGGCCGCTAGGAAGCGCCCCAGGCGGGGACTTCAGCAACAGAAGCCCCTGGCCTTGCGGGTCTGAAGGCCAGCCGCCCACGACCGAGGTGTCAGCAGGGCTGGTTCCCCCGAGGCCTCTGTCCTTGGCTCGTACGTGCCATCTTTGCATTCATGGGGCGTTCCTCCTATGCCGTCCTCTCTGCCCAAATGACCTTCTTTCATAAGGACACCATGCACATTGGATTAGGGCCACCCTGATGACCTCATCTGTAATGACTCGAAATAAAGCCACATTCTGAGGCAGTGGGGGTAGGACTTCAGCACAGGAATTTGGGGTCGGGGGGACATAGTGTCGCCCATATTGGAGAGGCACATGCGGCTCAGACCCGTGGTCGTCCAGGCCCCACCCCCACGTGGCGTGTGCTCCGGGGCATGGGAATGACCAGCAACTGCACGTTCCATAAGTCGGGCGGCCGAGCTCGGGGGTGCTGGGTAGGTAATGAGCTGTCTGAGGGGTGCCCCTGGACTAAGGGCCTGGATCTCGGGGGGCAGCCTCCCCAGCTTGCCACCTGAACAGGAGTTTCCGTGTTTCTTGAGAGTGAACCGTGAATTGTAGACAGAAGTTCACGCCACAGAGAAGGGGCCGGGGACGTGGAGGACACCGGCCGTCCTCCCCACTGTCTGGCGGCTGCACTCCCGTCCCCTCCTCGGCCTCAGCCAGGCTCCTGGGGCTCTGGGGTCCTCACTCCCGTGGGGGTCAGGGCGTCACGTGGCGCAGCTGCAGCGCAGCCCTCCAGGAGGCACGTGGACCCCAGGAAGGGTGCGGCCGTTCTGGGGGCGGCCTCTCTGCTCAGGGCTCCAGACACCCCGTCCGTGTCCCACAGCAGGCTCGTTCCCAAGAAGGAGGGTTGGCGGAGGCGGGGGTCCCTGGGAACACCAGCCCCTCTAGAAAGGAAGTGGTCCCTTCAGGGTGTTGGATGTGGCTGCCACCGCCCGAGAGCCCTTGTCCCTCGCGCCTTTGGCGGGAAGACAACTGTGAACACATCAGATAAGTGCTCGCAGTCGGGGGTGACAGCAAACACGCCGCGGGGGGAGCAAGCAGATTTTAAAGCGGTTTCTGGACTTCCTGCAATGCCAGCTTGATGTCCCCGAAAGCTGCGAGTGCCGTCAGGAGTGAGCAGCAGGGTGTCCGTCTTGTGCTTGCAGAGGGAGACGTTCTCCGTCTCTCGCGCTCTGCGTACTTACTCCCTGACAGCACCCGGGGGTGGGGCTGGGGGCGGCAGAAGTGGAGGCTCCTGGGACTCTGCGTGGGGGGTGGGAGTGGGGTGGTTTGAGTGTCCCTGGGGAGGGGCCCTGGGCTGCCTGATGGGGTGCTAGGCCTGGAGGTCTGCTGCCTGGGCTGGCTGCTGTGTCCCCCCACCATACCCACTGCCTGGTGGTCTGGGGAGTACTGCTTCCCTCTGACCCCTGCGCCCAGCCCCGACCGGGGCGGAAGGTGGGAAGGCAGCCATGCTAACCCTGGCTGGGACAGCCGGGGCTCCCCCACCTGCGTGGCTGGGCCATCTCACAGAGCACTTGTCTCTCCTGTGACTGGACACAGCCACTGTCCCTTCTCACAGCCGGGGAGTTGGGGGGGCAGTGAGGGCTGCAGGGGGGCTGGTCCCACCACATTTGCCGTCCCGTCTCCCTGGTGGAGCGCGCAGCCCGAGGGACCCCACCCGAGGCTTCCCAGAGCCTCAAGGAGGCGAGAGCGCCCAGTGCACTGGCAGGGGACACTGTGGGTGTCCTTGGTCATGGAGCACCCTGTCAGAAGTGACCTGACAGCCTGTGATGGCTGTAGAGCAGGACAGAAAAGTTGCTGCACGCAGCAGGGAGCAGATCTAGGCCTTTACAAGGGGGGCTGCCAGTTTCATTCAGGGACACGTTGTCACACAGGATACACGCCCCAGCACAGTCCCCGAGGCCTCCCTTGCCATCGGGGTACACCCTGCCTCGGGCTCCACACTGGAAAAATGCAGGGTTGGCCAGACCGTGGGGACCAGGCCCAGGCTGGGGGCTGCGGGGTGTGGGGAGGGGTGCAGCGTCCCTGAACCAGGCAGCAGGCATGAGGCCACTTCTGCGGGCCGCACAGCAGGACTCGAGCTTGAGACCCCAGATCTCCCAGTTCCCCTCAGCACCCCCCCTGCAGGGACTTTGGTGACGTAGAAACCAGGCAGGCCAGCAAAACCCCCTGGTGGGCGATCTCGGCCGTGACACCCTCTTACCCCTAAAGAAAGTACTAGAAGAGCCTTGGCTCATCTGCCATGCTGCCCACCCAGTGTCCTAAACCCCATGAGGTGGGAGGTCCCACCTGCTGGGGAGGGACTGGCTGGGACCCGCAGCCCTGCGGGTGTGACACCCCTGCTGCGTTTGAGGTTCCCTCGGGCCCGGCAGGTGGAGGTCTCACTGAGGGCCCAGCGTGGCCACGTCAGCAACAGAGCCCAGAGCCCTCGGGTGTCCTTCTTGGCCTAGGGTCCTCAGGGCGTATGACCCCTCAGGTTCCCAGAGCCCAGGAGACGTGAGGAAGAGGCCGGAATCTGTCCCTTTTGACAGTAGAGCTTCCAGCGGAGAGTAGATGGGACCTGTGGTCCACAGGCCGAGCACGCAGGGCGATGTCCAGTCATTCGCACTGGGCGGGGAGGAGCCGCGAGCTCCCTTAGAGGGCAGAGCCTCCTGCCGAAATGCTGCAGCACGGGCAGCGCAGTGGCTCTTGGCCCGGCCCGGCACCGCCTGGGCCGCTGACCTGCGGATTTCTCGGTTATGTCCGGTCACTCCTGAGGCCATGGTGTTGCAACCAAGCGTAGCCACGTAACGCTCCACGTCTTCCCCCCCTCCACGTCTCCCCCCATCTCCCCGCTTCACATGTCCCTCTTCTCATTTCCCCCCCGTCTCCCCACCACGTAT